GCGCTGGCAAGCGGAGCCGGCCGTGCCGCCATGGCTGGTACGGGCAGCGAGATGGGACAGAAAGTGTGCGCGTGTTCTCCGCCGCGCGGCGTGCCCGCCGGGCACCACGTGGAATCGGGCGGGAATGAGCGGGAAAAAGGGGGAAAAGCGGGAAAAGAGGGAAAAGAGGCGTTGGGCACCCGCAGCCTGGGGTATCTTGCGCGGTGCGTTTTCCACGGAAACCCTCCGTTTCCTCCCTCCGCTTCCATTAATAAGCAGGCACCACTGCTGATGGGAAATAATAATAATAGAATAACATAATTAAAATAACTAAACATAAATGATGACAAAAATAAAAATAATAAAAGGTAATAATAATAATAAATGAAAAGCAGATGCAGAATTTGCCTTGAAGAATGACAGGGGTGGATTTTGGCATCTACAGTTTCAATCCTGCTTCCTAAAACTGCGCTGGATCTGGGAATTTGCCATTTCTGTTCTATCTCCAAAGCTTCAAGTTCCGGGTCCTGCCATTATTCTCTGCAAAACAGTGGTTATAACTTCTGGTGCAGTTTGCAGAGGAAAGCAGCACGTTATGTTATGTCTTTTAAAATCTCCTTATACCTGATTGGAAAATAGGAAAAGGAGAAATAAAAATCTCTGGAATGAAGCCATAGACTAACAAAAGGAGAAAAAAAAAAGCATTTTTTTGCTGCAGTTTGCAGCAGGAAAGCATATCTTTAAGGATATGTATGAAGCAATATATATTCATTTTTATACTTTATATATGTATATATGTATATATATACACATATGTGTAGCTTCGTGCAAAGCAGTTACTCAGCGGTTGGGAATCATCTTGTGGCACCAGCTTGTCCCTTTTCAGGGTTTCGTTTTTGCTCCATGCATTTGTTTCCTGCACTTAATTTTACGTATTTCCCTGCAATTTTGCTAAGGGAACCATCAGACACAGACAGATGGCTGGAGGAAGAGGAAGGTGCCTGCTCCACTCCACGTTTTTGGGTGTTAGAGCTGGCGGTTTTGAGGTCCCTTTGCAGAGATCGGGTGTCCCCAGCAGCAGATATTTCACCAAAAAGCTCCCCATCCGCCCCCCCAAAAAGGGCCTTTCTTTCTTCCCAAGCAATTTGAAGGTGTCAATCTGCAGAAGCATCTGCAGAATGGAAAGAAACTCCTTTTTTTTTTTTCCCCCCCAGCGCTGGGTGCCAACGGCCAGAAGACAATGTGCTGCTTACGGTGTCTCCTGTAGGTGTCAGGGAGAAAAATAAATAAATAAAATAAAGTAAACCTCATCAGAAATGAAAAATCTGCTGTAATGCAGCTCATGTGTCTGCGCTTCGCAGTAAGGAAATCGGAAAACCTTATTTTGTGTTTAAAGATGCCTGAAAGTTTTCGGAGGAGAAGACAAAGTGGAAGGTGTGCTTTGAATTTTAGCACGTATTTCCAGGTATTCCTGTGCTGTGATTTCCACCTAAATAGGGGGAAGTAAAAAAAAAAATGTTCCCCGCAGATGTGATAAATGAAGAACATTTTCTCACTTGACGTTTTCTATTATTCTCCACAGCAGTACAACCCTCAAGTGCTTGAGAACAATTATGCTGGGGAATACAGCAGAGCTAGTGCAATTTTGCAATTTTCTTTTTTTTTTTCTAAAATATCTTCCTAAACAAAAACCAGCTGAACAGCAGTTCCCGACAAAAGCAAAGGGCCCAAGCGTTGCACAGAAATGAGGAGGATACAGCAATACAAAGGTGTAGGTTACAGCTGAGCATTTTGAGCGTTTTCTTGAAATTTGTGTATTTAAAACCATGCGCTCAGCTCTCGCACATGGCCCTCTCAGAGGCCACTAGCATGCGGGCTCAGCAATTATATCCATTAAATGCATTTAATGAGATCTGCTTGGCTTTTAATATGTATATTTTTATTACATTTATATATTTAGGTCTTTATTCTTCTTTTGGAAGTGGATGAAACCGGCTCCACAGTTATTATGCACGAGACAGACACTGACACTCATGTATACATATGTATGTGATCATAAACAAATTAAATCATTTCCTCAGGCACTGAAAATAAAAGAGATACTTTTTAAAAAATGAGCTGGTTATGTACAAACTGTGTGAAGCTGCAAAGGCTTTGCTTCTACAGATGGCGTTAAGACGATTTCCAAGATTTCTTCTTTTCATTACAAAGCAAGACCCAGAATTGGAGCAGGGATCCAAGAAAGTCTCCAAGCCAAAACCTGGTTGCAATTACGGCAGCGCCGTTGCCATTGACTTTGGGTTAATTTATCTCACTGCAATCAGTTCTCCGTTTTCTGCAGCCACAGGGGAGCTGAGGTGGACCGAGAAATCCCAAAATAACAAGTCCCAAGGAGCATCTCTAGCCACCCCAATTGGTCCAAATCTGGCAATCTCAGAGCCTAGTAGTGGCTAGTACAAAATCCAATTGATCCACTTCTAGCCCCAAATTTGTTCCAGGAGCAGCACGGGTATTTTTATCGGAGCTCCATGGAGAAGGTTATCCAGGCCCCAAGTGACTGCACGGAGCTAACTTGGATCTTTTTACCCTAATCCAGGTGAAGCCACTGGAATTTGAAAGCATTTCTTTCTGTCTAATGAACAAAAAAATACTGGGAACATGCCAATATACTAAAAAATGTGAATGAAAAATATGGTTTGGACTTACTCCATTAATATAGAAACGTGACCCAGCGATTGCATTCATGATTTCTAGGTGGATTTGAAGAAACTTAACCGATTCATTGTGGCGAAGGAAGAAAACG